TGATCCTCTCTTTCTAATTTAGCTCAGTCAAGAGTGCAGCAAGAAGACTTAGGCGGGTAGCCACCGTGACTAAGATGAACGGACTGCTACTCCCCACGGATTCATACGGCAACCAAGCAAAATCTTTGGTGATTGAAGTAAAAACTGATCAACAGTTCAGCTAGTAGAGTGCTGGTCCGGTAACCTTAAGGTAACTGGATAAAATCCTGCTGAGATTCATATCATCTCCAATCGTCACGCAGCATGCTAAAAAGTCATGAAAAAAACTGGCTTATTATAGAATGAGATTAATTCATGAACATTCACCTACTTCGACTTGAAAAACCGAGCAGTCGCATAAGGCTCCACATACTGAAGTACATAAATCCCCGTACTGAGTCGAGTTATATAACTATCAGTTCCCTGAAGAAAAAGGAGGCTCAAAAACTGGCATTTTTCAGCAAGTGATGCAGTTTATCAAGGCAGTGAAGAAGTTAATTGATGAACAGATTACTTTGCTAACTGCCAAAAAATAACATTTAAACTGCCTTTCTTATGACGAGAAATCAATTTAAAAAACTCACTATTTCCTGAAGTGACAATAATCACCAAAGTGGCCATAAGCACCCCACCGTCTGTGGGTTAAAGTAATTTAGGCGACACCTAAAAATCTCCCATCAATATGTTTCTGCTATTAAGGAAGACACCCATTTCATTAGAGGAAAATCTCCTAACTAAAATCCCTTATGAATGGAAATCAACGGTCGAGTCAAATCAACTCAATCACTAAACACACTACTTGAAAGTAATTATCCAAACGGCCACTATATCTCTATGAACGCAAGACGAAAATATCAGCGAGCAGAAGGAAAAACAAGATTAATGTTGTCAAAACAGGTTGCAGAACTATAAATTATAGGATTTCTTCGCAGTCCTCTTGACGGCTTGTAGAAAAATCCAAGTGGAGCGTTTCGTCCAGTTTCAATTTCCTCAAATGGATGTACACGCATCTCACTGAGAATAAAAATCGGCACACCGAGGATTCCTTAAAGAAACAAAGCGTTATTAGCCAAGTTCACGCCTACAAAACGGCTAACAGTTGTTCCTCTTGATGCCATTTATTGCTACTTGTAATTTCCGCTGCTACAAAGGGCAAGAACCTAGCCACATAAATAGTTCGCTAGTTTACTAGCCGGTTCTAAGCCCGGGTAAACAGGAAAGCTTGGGCATAGAGCTAGCAACCCTACCCCGTAAAACCAATCCAATCGCTAAAGCACAAAAAATATAAAACATAAAAATAAACTTATTCCTCGCTGGAATCGGGAAGACGAAATGACTCCACTTGGTGAAAGCCTTCCGGAACCCAATTGGTCGATGTGTCTTCTCTCGATGACAGCGAAAGTAAACATAGAGAAGTAGAATGTCCGCACACTGTTTCAAGCTGACTGACTGGCAAGGCTGCCCAAATTGCAAAATACATGAGAAGGAATAGCATAGATGTGCTAGGAATCTGCGAAAGCAGAGGGAATGCAAGTGGACTCTGCAAACTGTCAACTGAAGAGTCAATAAACTACTCCAATATTGCCACCCACACGACAACCACGAACACACCGAGTTCTCGAGTGGCTGTCATGATGTCCCTGGGAGCAGGTAAATAAAACACAGCTGATGTATAACTTTTGAGATTCTGTAGTTTAGACCTATATTTTCAGTACATTGCTGATCAGTGTACCATCTTAAATAATAGTATGACTTATATTATGTTGCTTGGTGTTAATGGGGATACCGTGTGAATGAAGCTAGATGTAACTGTTGTTTACACCTTAATAACACCCAGTGACCACATGGTTTCAAAACCCGTAGGTAGGCTTTGTAAAGTTTTTAATTAATATCAAAGACTAATGGAAGATGTTTTCGTCTTTGTTTAACAACTGTGATCGACAAACAGGTATTGAAAGAGCTCAACGAAATTCACAGGAATATTGTATCTATCAGCAGAATGTGTTTTGAAACTCCAGGTGGATTCAATGTGGAGTTTAATAGTATTTTAAAAGTGTAACCAGTACTCGTTTACACTTTTCTTGTGATTCGATAACTTTAGTAGGAAATGGTGAAACTGGATAACCACCGACTTCTTCATGTACTGTTATACAAGGATTATGGTGATGATTCGTTGTCCCAACCTCTGCAGTTTAATCTGGGTTGAAACCAGTAATGGTTATTCATTTACACACATATTAAAGTCACAGATTAGTCTGAGATATAAATAACAACAGAAAATGCGCTAAAATACTAGACCTGTTTACCAACAATAATCGTTCCTTTCGGTACTTCTCACTTCAGTAATTTGCGGAATTATGCCATGAAAGTTGACCAGCGATTTCGAAAGAATATGACACCCATAAACAATGTTGGAGAATATTTATAGCTTAGAGGGATGATCTTGGTTGTCTTGCGTCCTCTCAGCTGGATACTTTCAGTGTCTTCCTAGACAACTTCTTCAACACTAACTTCAGTTTGAAATGAGATATCAGGATTTCTGTGTGGAAGCTTCAGTAACTTGCCTTGACAAAGTGGTTTGTGTTTGGTGGTTCCCTTTGGTTTTTGTATCACTGCGTGTGCAGGTTTTCCTATTGACCTCTCGACCTGCCTTCTAACCTGTAGTTGCTTAACATTTTGTGTGCTGGTTGATAGATTGTATGCTGTTTGCTTCTATGAGCTTTCTGGTATTCTTTGTGTTCCCTCTGTCCAATATCTCTCTATTTTCAAAATTGAATTAATATCTGTATCTGTCTACATGCATTGGCATGTGCGACGAGATGTCGTCACGTTTAATAGCCAATTGATCTATTTTTGATTTAGCTTAGTTTTTGTGCTCTGTTATTCTAATCGACTCCGGTGGACTACTTTGACCTATGTATTTGACTTCGCAACCATTGTAAAGGATTTGGTAAACTAGATTGTTTCGCTTTGTAGGTTAAAAGGTCCTATCGATGCAATTAAGCAAAATAATTGGGTTTACCGAATCCCTTACAATGACTATGAAGTCAAACGCATAGGTCGAAGTAGTCGACCAGGATCGATTAGAATAACGGAGCACAAAAACTTAGCTAAATCAAGATTGGTAGATCCTAATAACATAAAAAATTTAGAGAAAAGCTTGGCTATATCTCTGCATGCAATTACACACAATCACACAGTAGGGTGGGACAGAGCGACAGTGGTAAAAACTAACTTAGTTGGGTGGAGGGAGAGATTGATAACCGAATCATTGTTTATCGAATCAACATGCAGAGATGGAAATGATTCTTAACAGAACAGAAACCGAGAGACGAAACTACAAATGACATCTTCACGTCAGTCAGTTATCAGGATGAAATGGTAGACATAAAGCGACATACCTGAAGAAACCTGTGTGAAAGAACACTGGAACTCTGAAAGAGATGTGAAAGGAAACCTGCATAACTGTGTCAGGAAGGAAGAAGAAGCAGGACAAGGAATAGATCTCGACGTATACATGGAAGCTGATTGAGGTGGGAGAGGAAGATGGTGAAGCAGAAGATGAACCAGTGCAGTAGAGTGCAGGGATGAACAACGAAGAGGGGAAGTGAACACAACCTATAAAACACTACACTGGACAAAGAAGTGAAGAAGAGTGCGCGCAAAGACAAAAGACACTTCTACGACACATTGGCAAGTGAAGCAGCACAGGCTGCAGGTAGGAGAGACCCTGACAACACCATATAAAATAACCATTTTTAGGAGGGGAGAGATCAACATAGCGCAGATCATAGTGAAGGAAACTTAGTTAGCAAAGAGGACCCAAAGGACAAATAATGGTGAAACGTAGAGAATTACTTCATGTCTGTTTACAAAGAACAACAATTGCCACTCAATCACTCTGGCTGGCAACTAACCAACCAGGAACCCATCCACCAACAAATATGCAGAAGAAAGTGAAGATGGCTTGGTCATACACTGAGAAGGCCAATTGGGGGCATCACGCCCTTGAGCGGAACCGAGAGGGGAAACGACGAGTTGGGTGTTCGAGGCGAGGGTGACATGGAGATGATGTGAGGAAGAAATGAAAGTTTGTGGGGAAACGCGGAGCCAGGTTGAAAAGACTGCAGAGAGCAGAAGGAAACGGAGATGTGCTACTGAAGCCCTATGTCCCATTAGGAACTCAAGGGACAAATAATAAGAATATACTGGGTCGAATTCTCATCTTCAAAGTAAACTAGATAGAGGTATGAGTGGCAGGTCGATTAAAGACCACTAAGGAGATCATCAAGATCAACATAGTACCAGGCATCACTACGCAACGGTCCAAATAGCCACCTCATATCAGCATATCAAATAATAAGGCAATAAAATGGATGATGAAGACGGAAAGAAAAATCGGTCAAAGAAAGCGGAAAGTAGTAAAAGAGAAGAAGGAAGAACGAGAAGATAATGAGATTGAGTATAGTGGTTAAGGTGACGATAATGCGTATGCGTGTGCTCCACTGACATCGGTTCAGAGTCATGTCAACTAGAGTCTCCAACCACTGATTTCTGTTGTCCGCACGACTCCAACCGACTTGTCTGTATCGCCCAACATGGCTCAAACCCACAGTCAAGGATCTTATGAATTGGTGCCGTGTCTTAGTCTGGCTGCCCCAAGCGTTTTACCAGCCTGAACCTACTTCGACCAACATTATGTGACGAGTCAAACGTAACACATGCCCAAGACATCTCAGTCGATGAAGGTTCCCAACTCCACCAACTGACTTACTTCCCCTGTCTAAAGCTACGCCTGACTTCTGCGTTACTCACCTGGTGACTACACGAAGCACAGCCCATGCCACGAAGGCAGCGGTGGTCAAACAGCTGAACCCTTCACATGTATCTAACCTTTAATGGCCATGTTTTACACCCACACAGTAGAAAAGAGCGGATAGCAGCACAATACGCTCGACCCTTCCACTAAGGAGAAGAAACATCTAGGTTCTAGGTCGACTAACAATAGAAACAATGGCAATACAACAAACATACTGCATATATATTATTAACGATACACGTCAATTTTTTCACACCAATACCAAAACATAATAATATAACAGATTAAAACAGTTAGTATATCACAGCGAAATGCATACACCACCCGTCAGTGTTAAAAGATTGTTCAATGGTGTAAGATCATTTAGTTGATGAGTCATGGGAAACAGAAACATACATACACATACACACACACAGTATGAACAATACGCATGACATGAAAATGAATAGCCTAACATACTCAACTGATGAACAAAAAACCTACAGGTACAAATCAATAAATAATAGATAAAAGAAGAAAATAGAAATTATGCTTGACAAATAAAATAAGTTAAAGAGTGCATGAGGGACAAAAAATACGAACCACTAATCGATATTTCGGTTATGAAAAACAAACAAGACTAAAAGTATTTGAATGTTATACAATTACACTATATGTCCCCATAAGGAAATGCCAAAAACTGAAATAATTAGCCGCCTATTATCAATTTTTAAATAGGAATAAGTGAAATCAGAATTGGACGAAAGATGAAATTATTGAAACGAGTAGTATAAGTAATTTATCACAATAAACAATGGATAAGAGATTGCTTTTCTTCTCCTCCTTCTTCAAAAATTCGAATCCATCTAAAATGTTATAGAGTCCAATGGGTTCTATCGAAACCCAATGATAGACCAGATATAATCCTTCTAGCTTCTTCTCTGTCAACTGATTCAAACACATAACAAGTGAAGTGATTTGCTGTAGTGCATGATTCATCCCCGGCTATATAAGCAAAATAATTTGTTTCATCAGTTCTTCGACCACATGAAGATATTTGAGGATAGGAATGACGTAATAGTGGTTGATTAGCACGTTCAATTTTATCATTTCTCAACTCTATTTCCCATACAGTCACACCTAGTTCACCTGAAGTCAGTGAATATACACGGAAAGAATACAATGTACACTATTTATGCGAATGATAAAACTGTCAAAGGCAATAGAAATGAAGATGTAGGAAACGACAAGATGGAGACGAAGGAAGAAATGTTTATTACTGACATCTTGTATAGTAGTCATCAAATACTGTACACTTTTCACTAAGACAGTCATTCGCACAATGTGTTTCATTTCCTCTTCTGCTAGTATCTCGATTCGCTCTTCATATGCCCACATTACTTCTTGGGTTTCTCCGGGCAGAATATTTACCCATTGCTGGTAATTGCCTATGATTTCTGCCGCTCTCTCAACATATACTACTCATATCCATTCTGATCACCAGCGCCCACTACACTTGTAGACTGTTTCCTATGTAGGAGAATTCAATACTCAGACTATGAAGTCTAACAATACGGTGGTTGAATATATTTCTCTCAGCCAACTAAAGGAATGTAGTATTTTTACAAATAATTTACATTACGACAACGAATAAGATGCATACACATAATTGGTTAGCTTTCCAAGCTCACATTCAATTTCTACACCTCTAGTGCATAGGTTGAAGCTTAGATACAACAAAAAAGGAAAATTCTATTACTAAGCTATTGTCAACCTTAAATAGTTACACTTGACAAATAAAGTGGTGCCTTCCAGGAGCGTGTGTATGCGTGCACCATAGGCTTTTTAGGCAAGAACCCAATGGTAACGTTCTCGTATATGTCCGCATAATAAAAGTCGTCAACTGTAGCATCTTACAGGCTGTGATTTTCAACCATCGCTGCTATCCACCATAACCACCGCTCTGCTTCCTAGTGGGCTGGCTATTCTACATAAAAGAACCCTGAGATAGATCATACTGCAATAAAGCTAATCATGGTGTGGGTTCATATGGGATTAGCACCACCTGTGGCGTGTTTGTCTGTACTCCAACCATGCTTCAGTGTATATTGAGCTCATTTTGATTTTCGATGATAAACGGAATGTGAGGTTAGTAAGGTTCCGCCACTGAGTTGGTAGGAAGCAGGGGAAATAAGTATACACACCACAGGTTATCGGTTATTGAAACAACAGGTTTCGAGCTTAGCAATTCGATTTACGCTATTGTGTGGAAGGAATTATGTTAATAAGTCAGGAATTTCATTGGATTAATAAGGAATGCCAGGACTGTTTGCTTAGTGTATTTTTTTAAATTATAAATAAACGTTTTAGATCTTGGTTGTGTTGCCTTCTCTGGTTTAATCGGGAAGCTTTCGTTGCCAGACAAGTGGATTAATGAGGTTATGAACCCTCATCCGTTTCGATGGCTTCAACATGTGCTGCGCATGCTGACCTACAGCCTACTTCGACTTGTCATTCTGGCTAGGGAAGTTGGATTAGGTTGTAAGAAGACTCAGGGTGGCCAGGCCAAGACATGGCACCAGTTCGTGAAATCCCTGACTGTTGGTCTGAGCCAAGTGGAGAGATGTAAACTGCCTGACCAGGATGAAACAATAGCAACTAGTGGCTGAAGTCTCTTAATGAAATAGCTATGAATCGGTTCCAGTAGCGTCTTCTAAAGCTTGAATATTCGCAATGACCTCTATCTGCGAATGGTTTATTCTCTCACACGACTCCATCTACTTTGATATCATTCTTTTTCGATCCACCTATTGGTTGTATACTACTAGGAAGTATGGCAACTTGAACGAATAAACCTGTGTGCGGGGTTCTACGTTGATTTTGTTTGTCTGTCTACCTATCTATCTGCATGCTTACTGATATGCGTACCAACCATCTACGAGTTATTTTGTAGTTTCCGGGCTTCCTCCCACCGAAATTTCTACATTTTCAAAACTGAATTCATGTCCACAGTTGTCCAGATCCAGGCATATAAATGACACAATGTCGTGACGTTCAACTATCGACTGATGTTCATGTAAGCTTTGAAGCGAATTTGTTGGTTTGTGAACCACATAAATTCCAAATATTCTCAGTAGTCTTATCATAATATCTGATATATTCTTTATGTTTGGTAGGATGATATGTTGGTTGTTTTTCCTCAACGACTTTGTGTTTATTCATGAATTGGACAGACAACTGATGAAGTTGAGTGGCAACTGCTGTTCTTTGTAAACAGACATGAAGTAATTCTCTACGTTTCACCATTATTTGTCCTTTGGGTCCTCTTTGCTAACTAAGTTTCCTTCACTATGATCTGCGCTATGTTGATCTCTCCCCTCCTAAAAATGGTTATTTTATATGGTGTTGTCAGGGTCTCTCCTACCTGCAGCCTGTGCTGCTTCACTTGCCAATGTGTCGTAGAAGTGTCTTTTGTCTTTGCGCGCACTCTTCTTCACTTCTTTGTCCAGTGTAGTGTTTTATAGGTTGTGTTCACTTCCCCTCTTCGTTGTTCATCCCTGCACTCTACTGCACTGGTTCATCTTCTGCTTCACCATCTTCCTCTCCCACCTCAATCAGCTTCCATGTATACGTCGAGATCTATTCCTTGTCCTGCTTCTTCTTCCTTCCTGACACAGTTATGCAGGTTTCCTTTCACATCTCTTTCAGAGTTCCAGTGTTCTTTCACACAGGTTTCTTCAGGTATGTCGCTTTATGTCTACCATTTCATCCTGATAACTGACTGACGTGAAGATGTCATTTGTAGTTTCGTCCTTCAGTTTCTGTGCTGGGTGTTAAACTTCAAGTTCTGTGAAGGCTTTCAGCTTCATTGTGAAGGCAGGTTCTTTGTACTAGATAGTGAGTGTTCTGAAACTACATCTGCTCTCCTTTTTGATCTTGTGTCCAGTAGGCTGCGTCTCCACTTTCTTCACATTGAGATGAAGTCGATCTGATTTTTAGTGTGTCCATGTCACTTTGTGAATATCCTTGTGCTTGTACACACTGCCTCGTCTCCAATGACCAGATCGTTGAATGTGCAGAAGTCCGCAAACAGTTCTCCATTCTCATTCATCATTTCATTGAGTGCCTGTTGATCCATCATGAGTTCTCTTCCTGTGTTGTCCGCTCCCCGTTCGGCATTCATGTAACACCATCCATTATAATTTTGATGTCACCAACTTGGGTGGGGTCTTGTCCATTACTGATTGCAGTTGTCTATAGAATTCCTCCTCCTTCACTTCATCTACATTATTTGTAGGTGCACAGCGTAGCATTGCATGATTGTGACTTCCATTCTTTTTGAATTGAATCTTGGTGTCATGATTCTGCAGGAGGAGATTGGTTCCCACAGCATGACAGCCTTAGATGCTCTTAGGGACATCATGACAGCCACTCGAGAACTCGGTGTGTTCGTGGTTGTCGTGTGGGTGGCAATATTGGAGTAGTTTATTGACTCTTCAGTTGACAGTTTGCAGAGTCCACTTGCATTCCCTCTGCTTTCGCAGATTCCTAGCACATCTATGCTATTCCTTCTCATGTATTTTGCAATTTGGGCAGCCTTGCCAGTCAGTCAGCTTGAAACAGTGTGCGGACATTCTACTTCTCTATGTTTACTTTCGCTGTCATCGAGAGAAGACACATCGACCAATTGGGTTCCGGAAGGCTTTCACCAAGTGGAGTCATTTCGTCTTCCCGATTCCAGCGAGGAATAAGTTTATTTTTATGTTTTATATTTTTTGTGCTTTAGCGATTGGATTGGTTTTACGGGGTAGGGTTGCTAGCTCTATGCCCAAGCTTTCCTGTTTACCCGGGCTTAGAACCGGCTAGTAAACTAGCGAACTAGTTAACTAGGAGAGGTTTCGTCTCACCATGACGTTGTTATACTACAGCGTGTTCTTGCTTTTTCGAATAAAGTCTGTACGTATCTAGATTTGTGCGTTGTTGGGTTGTTGCTACTGTAGTTGAGGATTTGATCAGTGTATGCTGACTTCCTGCACACTTGAGTCTCCAATCCTCCGACGTTGGTTCTATTGGCTAAAACTTCTAGGAATGGTAGTTCGTTGTTCGACTCCTTATCCATTATGAATTTAATATATTCGAAAACAATTTTCATCAAACTAAAAACGTTTTCTAATTCATCCTTTTTATTAATAATAAAAGTATCATCGGCATAAAAGATCCATATCATGCAGACCAAAAGACGCAACAGCCAAAGAAGGCAAACGTAATATCATTTAAAAAATGAACTGCAACAACTGAGATCAGAACTACATTGGATAAATTTAGGAGTAAAACTTGGGCATTGTAGAGGATTGCAATTCCATTTTAGTCAGTTTATTAGAAATGTCAAAAAACGAAACAATATCATTTACTGGATAACATTTCGGACACAATTTACTGTCCACATTCATATCAGGTAACTCCATAACTGTGATACAGAGTTCATATATTCCTAATATTCTCTTTTTCTCTGCGATGAAAAGGGTAGTAGGACTTTCGATATATCTGGGACAGACGCAGAATCATTTCTATCTCTGCATGTTGATTCGATAAACAATGATTCGGTTATCAATCTCTCCCTCCACCCAACTAAGTTAGTTTTTACCACTGTCGCTCTGTCCCACCCTACTGTGTGATTGTGTGTAATTGCATGCAGAGATATAGCCAAGCTTTTCTCTAAATTTTTTATGTTATTAGGATCTACCAATCTTGATTTAGCTAAGTTTTTGTGCTCCGTTATTCTAATCGATCCTGGTCGACTACTTCGACCTATGCGTTTGACTTCATAGTCATTGTAAGGGATTCGGTAAACCCAATTATTTTGCTTAATTGCATCGATAGGACCTTTTAACCTACAAAGCGAAACAATCTAGTTTACCAAATCCTTTACAATGGTTGCGAAGTCAAATACATAGGTCAAAGTAGTCCACCGGAGTCGATTAGAATAACAGAGCACAAAAACTAAGCTAAATCAAAAATAGATCAATTGGCTATTAAACGTGACGACATCTCGTCGCACATGCCAATGCATGTAGACAGATACAGATATTAATTCAATTTTGAAAATAGAGAGATATTGGACAGAGGGAACACAAAGAATACCAGAAAGCTCATAGAAGCAAACAGCATACAATCTATCAACCAGCACACAAAATGTTAAGCAACTACAGGTTAGAAGGCAGGTCGAGAGGTCAATAGGAAAACCTGCACACGCAGTGATACAAAAACCAAAGGGAACCACCAAACACAAACCACTTTGTCAAGGCAAGTTACTGAAGCTTCCACACAGAAATCCTGATATCTCATTTCAAACTGAAGTTAGTGTTGAAGAAGTTGTCTAGGAAGACACTGAAAGTATCCAGCTGAGAGGACGCAAGACAACCAAGATCATCCCTCTAAGCTATAAATATTCTCCAACATTGTTTATGGGTGTCATATTCTTTCGAAATCGCTGGTCAACTTTCATGGCATAATTCCGCAAATTACTGAAGTGAGAAGTACCGAAAGGAACGATTATTGTTGGTAAACAGGTCTAGTATTTTAGCGCATTTTCTGTTGTTATTTATATCTCAGACTAATCTGTGACTTTAATATGTGTGTAAATGAATAACCATTACTGGTTTCAACCCAGATTAAACTGCAGAGGTTGGGACAACGAATCATCACCATAATCCTTGTATAACAGTACATGAAGAAGTCGGTGGTTATCCAGTTTCACCATTTCCTACTAAAGTTATCGAATCACAAGAAAAGTGTAAACGAGTACTGGTTACACTTTTAAAATACTATTAAACTCCACATTGAATCCACCTGGAGTTTCAAAACACATTCTGCTGATAGATACAATATTCCTGTGAATTTCGTTGAGCTCTTTCAATACCTGTTTGTCGATCACAGTTGTTAAACAAAGACGAAAACATCTTCCATTAGTCTTTGATATTAATTAAAAACTTTACAAAGCCTACCTACGGGTTTTGAAACCATGTGGTCACTGGGTGTTATTAAGGTGTAAACAACAGTTACATCTAGCTTCATTCACACGGTATCCCCATTAACACCAAGCAACATAATATAAGTCATACTATTATTTAAGATGGTACACTGATCAGCAATGTACTGAAAATATAGGTCTAAACTACAGAATCTCAAAAGTTATACATCAACTGTGTTACACATACATTTTTGAAGGAAGTAAAAGTTTTTCTAAGGCAAGAAAACTCGTTGGTATGAAATTTTATGGGGTGAGTCCATTGGTTCGGTCATTTTATATACTGATATAAACGACTAATAGGTGAAGAATTGAATCCCTCGATTTTCGGTGTACACCTTGAACAAAGAAAGAAGTATTATGTAAAATGACAACTTTTCACAAAACAATAAAGTGCGAAAAATTGTTATCAAACAATAATGATTGAATAGTCTGAATGATGAGTCATCTCTGGTAGCATAATTCAATCAACAAATAATTCCAGGAAATGAAATCAATTTACACCACCTACCTAATTCAATATACACCGGAGTTTGTCCATTTGAACTCTTCAAATTACTTAGAAGGGAAATAATAGAACGATTGATCATATTTACACCACCATTTGGACCAACTTCATACTGACCAATATATCGAAAACGACACCAAGGTCTCTGATCAAAAAAACTACTTTTGGGATTGTCAACAATATGAACTGAAAAGATTCAAGAAAATATTGATTTGAAGTTCAAGTAACGATTAATGCCTCTTAATAAATCCACTGTATATATATATATATATATATATATATATATATATATATATATATATATATATATATATAAGTATCAAGGTAAGATATATTCAGTTCAGTAACATCAATGTGATGCTTCACTTTATTTAACGTAAATTTAATCTACTGTTTTGTAATAAGCTATACAACATTTGACGTAATAGGAAAGCTTTAGATTGCAATATGATAGAAATAAAGAGCATATACTTCTTGATACTGACATGAAAGAATAATAGCACATTATTGGTGGCAGTCACTAACGGAACAGCAGTAAGATGAGTTGCATCACCACCTAGTTGTATGTACAATTGTGCCCGTTTTCACTCCCCTACATTCTTGTAGAAGCGTGTACTACTAGATACGTGTGAGCGGTTGACACTTCCCGCCTAGTCACACTTGGAAGGTTACTTCTTTTTAAGGTGACTACAGAGACCATGGGACATCTGCTTAAGGCTGGCTACACAGCGTTTTGTGGGTTGTTGTTTAGACGTTTCGTTGTTCTAACGCGGAATAGAGAAACTCCATGCAGCTGGGAACGGAAGACCATAGCAGGCAGGGAGAAGTGGGCTATTTTGGGGACCGAGCTTCTCTAATCCTCTCTCTACCCATTGAGAAGGCACCGTCAACCTGTCGCTGCTATTTATCCAAGAGAATCACCTTACTGCTGTCACACCGCATCCAATCACCAACACGACTTCGTCCTCAGACTTCCACCATAGTGTGGTAATTTTACATTACGAAGGTAACTGCCTCTTGTCTAACCACTAAGGAACAGACCTTCCTGGTATTGTAGGACCTCGAGGGATAAAGCGTTCCAGCCAGTGTCGCTCGTTGGGTTATTGTGATACACAAGCCCGACCACCGCGTCAAAGTAATAGCTATCGGTCAGGACACCTACCTTCTAATGCCCGTTGAACAGACATCAAATCCCTGCATCGATTTACTGACATCTTTCTTCAGTATCTTCTACAGCCACAATCGGTGGCAAACTGTACGCATACACTTGACTCTGTTGACGAATTTGAAGGCAATGAAAACAATGAATTTAGTAGAATATGACTAATCCAATGACCTGATACGATAACTTTATTCACTTGAGTACTTCACTATCTGACCTTATCGACGAAATTTTATATTCAAAACGGTAACAGAGAGAAGTATCTTCTCAACTGAGAAGACCAAAAATAAACTCTTTATAATCATCAGTTGTAACTGATTCGGAAAGATAGTTGTTTACGCCTTTGAAACAAGTGAATAAGCTTTTGCTGTCTTATTTATACGTTGCATAGGAGTCTGACCACGTAACCGCAAAATCTTCAGTGTTATTTACATTTCGAAGTTAAACAAACAACCACCAGCCAAGTACACATAATCTGTTCCTCAGATATAAAGCATAACGAATTTAACCATAAGCTATTAAATGACGTTGATTTCTAAGCGCTTACTCATCTATGAATTTTTCGGTAAACATAATAGGAGTCTGGTGATCACTCAGTAGTGTTAATGAAGGGGGCGAAAAAGAAAATGTATTACCTTGTCCAGTCTTTTCAAGCTCTACAACTAAGTTAAAATAACCATGTTGTTCTAAAAGAAACTTCACACGAGGATATATGTGTCCATCAGGCATCAGCGCTTTTGTAACACCAACGGGAACAGGTTGACCATTGTGAAGTGATCGAAGATTGTTTAAAAAAATCCCAGAATTACGTAATGTACAACCATACATGCTAGACAAAATATCCCCAACAGTAATCTGATTGTCTTCGGCAACAACTCCAGTAGGATCTACTTCTGTCACTAAATAATGACCATCTACTGTTTCTACCCGGGCACCAAGCATTCTGTAAAGTAAGGAATATAAAGTTATTTACTTAGGAATATATTTTTAATGAAGTCATTCAGTTTAAGCCCTACGCCTTGATGGATAAACGCCTCTCCCTTTGGATTGATGCAATCAGGAGGAAAAGCACAAAACCATAAATATCTAATTCGTCAATCTAGATAAATCCCAGGAATAAACAAAAATTAAATATTCGAGAAGTTGAAACAATTATCTTATCTTAGTTGAGTCGAAAATGATGAAAAATTAGGGCAGTGCGAATAAAAATCATCATAGAACGCTGTGAATGATTCACTGTTTTCCCAAAATATCCTGCCTGTTCACACATCGATGATATGAAAACCTTAAGATCTAAAAGAGTACCTCTTCCATAGTGTTTTCAATTCATTAGCATATAAAGCATATTCTTACTGAGTGGAACAACAAAACGTCTGAAAGGATGCCGGTTCCTGTCTTCAACTAGTCCTTAATCACAGCTAAGACCAAAAACAGATATTCATTCAATGAGTGCAAATGGGACTTCAAAAACGTAGAACGAAGCAATGTAGAGGAAACGGGTAGTTTGTTTTCCATCGTATTTCAAGGTAGTTATATAGAATTCAGAAAAGCTAACTGTAGTAGGACCACTTAGCGGTTCCTGACACTTGCTATATTTCTTGACTTGGAAGCAGCATTCGATTCTGTCTACCGACAATTGCTGTGGGGTATCTGAGTGCAGGAAGTACTAATCAATTATGTAATGTTAACCAAAGCTCTTTACTCGAAATTCATGCAGACTTGTAAGAGTTTATAGGGAGCTGCTTTCTGAAGCGACGACAACCAGTGACGTCTGCAGTCGCCATCCCTGGTTAACTTAATCATAAATGTGCTAATGGACATAAAAATAGTTCTCTCCTACTTTACAGGAACTGATTTTCTCCTCAGATGGCAAGTAGTTGATTTAGAGCAGGCAGTTGATATTGCTCTGTTAGGCGAAGACACTGACAAAATGATGAGTGTTCTGAATGTCATTAATGGAAATCTAGGTATGCTTGGCACGCGTTTCATAACTGCCAAATGTAAATGACGCTTCAGAGCTGGTCTACACCAACTCCTAGTTAAGGGATGGAGATTGATGTGGTAGAAAGATGCACTGGATGGAACGAGTTGGTTCCTGGCGATATCCCTGAAACACGACCGTTTAAAGTAGATACTGGGAGATTTCAGGTTTTTGACTGCAGGCATTGGTCACTATGGGATCAATGTGTGAGCAGTGTCGAGGCTAGAGGTATGATACTAGATAAGGAAGGCAAATCAGTCGATTAAGTCGTTAACCTTCACCGATGGAGGCACAATGGACATGTAAATTGTATATATGGAGTCACATCCTACCTTAACTGAAGTTGGAAGAAGGCTAAGGGTGGTCAGACCAAGACTTGACACCAGTCCATGAAGTCTCATACTGCTGGTATCAGTTGAAAGGTTACGGAATCCTTGAGATAATAAGAACCAATGGTTGGAAACTCTTGGCAATACGTTTAAAAACCAGTCACAATGGTGGTCACTCTTTGAGATCGCTGAAAGTTTGAACATTCTCACTAACCTTCATTTACTTCTATGCATTCTTCTTATCTCCTGTTGTCTAATTTAATATCACTTTTTTATTTACTGTTTGGCATGGCAGTGTGAAGTGTGCCAACGAACTGATGCATTTCTATGCGAGGTTCTATTTCGATTTATGTGTCATGTATTGACTAGGTGGTACTTCGTTTTACCGAAAGCGTCAACCTGGATTTTTCACACGGAATATTATTGTTGTACAAACCTGAACAGGTACCAACTGTTTTCTAAAAAACCTTGTACTTCAAATTCTAAAGAAAGAACGAATATTCCTTAAAAAAGTGTCCTATAAATGGATAAGAAAAATTTGTTGTCAACAAACTTACACAGAAATTTTTGTTATCGACCAGAGGCAACTTTACATTTTTAACTGCAGCAACTCACCCTATGAATAAGTACAGTACAAATGATGAGACTTTTATTGAATAACTAGGTGAAGTTCTGTGCCGTGATAGCCAATTAGTAGGTAATTATCCTAGCTTCATGCTGTTATTTTTAATCTTTTAATTACTAGGAGAATCTCCCTTAATACCTACAAGGTCAGAAACTAGAAGAAAACTTCACAGAAGTATTACTGCTGCCACAACGTCCTGATCCCATCAGAAGAGCCCGTTTCTACTAAGTATAGAAGAACCCGAAATTCTCCTACGTTTCTGATGGTATATATATTACAAGGGTTATGCTTACGAGGCATATGTCTTTATGGCAATCTAAAACCCACTTGAGAATATGGAAAGTTCAGTGGTTGATTCTACCCATCCATACTCAATATACAGAATTCTCAGAATTAAGTACAAACTTGGAACATGTACGACATCAGCTGGGATAATCCATTGTGCTTAGAGGAGTCTTCAAAACGAACTTTCCAAACCATTGGTAGAACTATCAAGCCGATAAACTAAATAACCTATCAAGAGGAGAATCAAAATGATCCTACCTAAAGAGTTGATAATACGAGTCTCGTTTGGATTCCTCTCAACGGCACTACGTTCGACTTCAGTTGTTACAGTGAGATCCGAACTCTTTAGTGTGATGAAGAGATCACTACTATTACTTGGGTTAAGACTCTTGAGTACTTTAATCTATGAGAGGAAATAAGAAAGACAATGTATTAATATGCATCCTAATCCCCTGAGAAACTACGTACAACTTTGGGCCATAGAGCATGACTATACCCTTATTTTTCATTTGAACTGAACATTTGCATTAAGACACTAGTCATGGCCATTGGGGTGCAAGAAATTTTGTTTCTTCAATTTAGAGGTTTGTGAGGATTTATTTATTGATTTCAGGTTGGTATTCATCATGGACTCACATCAGTTAGAGAAACATTGGAAACCCGGCAGCACTGGATACCTGTTCTGTCTCAGCATGAGACTCCTCAGCAGTCCTTACTCATGATCCCACCAGAGACCGAACCCAGAACCTCCAGGTTCTGCTGCCAGCACGTCACCATTGACCCCCTGAGTCAGAAACCAGTGGTCCATATTTCTTACTTCTGTCAGTTTACGATAGGTGCCCTCCATCCGATGTCGTCGTCGAGTATCTGCCCTCATATCCGAAATGGATGGTTCCACTGGTCACGACTTCTCATTAGAACTTCGGGAATCATGAAGAATACCACTTTGAAATAAATAAATAAATCCCCACAAACGTTCAAATTGAATTATTCTAGTGCTCATTGGTGACTAGCCTCAAGAGGTGATTCCCGAAGTTTCAACGAGAAGTCGTGACCGGTGGGGTCAACCAACAGTTACTCACAGATCACATTGGGTGATGGTCGAGCTTTATCGTGAAGTGACAGAAGTTGGAAATATGAACCAGTGGCTCAATGGCAAGATGCTGACGATGGAGCCTGAAGGATCCAGGGTTCGATCCCTGGCAGGGTCATGCGTGAGCAATGGTGAGACGAAACAGCTATCTAGTGCTCCTAGGTTTTTAATGTTCCTCTAACGGATGTCAGTCCATGATGAACACCAACCTGAAATCAATAAATTCTATTTAGGCTGGTATATAATGAGTCTACAATCTGATCGATATTACATGCTGAGACAACATTCAGTTCATAAAATCGGTTAGAATATTGGTCTTCAGTTGTAGTTAGTTGAGCTTCTTAAATATGTACACTATGAACTTATCTGACAACCTTAACTTGCATTCTACGCAACGTAGCATAAGAATTATGCGTGTTAGGCTAGCGAAATAAAGGATTTTATGAAAGATATATGCTACTATTTATAATAATTAGATTGATAAGATGTAACATACTTGCATGGAACAAATGTATAACTTCTAAATGCTGGTAGAGACCAAGTTTCATCAAGGAATTCTGTGTTCTCCACATTTAAACTAAACGGAATCCGACTAACTTCACTGACAAGAGAAGAAAATATTTGTATTAAAATCTCATTTCCCATCACTGATTCTGATTGTTCATAAAATGCAGCTGATATATGCAAGTTGTTTAGTAGTAATTTGAAAGGGAAATCTATAGTTCCAGAACTCAATAACAGACGGATGAGAAGACGTCCACGTCCTTGAGCAGTGGTAATACATCGACATTTATGTACCTAAAACAGTACAACATGAGTGATAAATTGTGTCCGGAATGCAATTCAGTAAAGAATACAGTTTCACTTAGTAATACATCTAATAAATCAACTAAAATGAAATTACATTCTATCACAGTACACAGGTTTTACTTTTTATTAATGCCCACCATAACAAGTCACTTACGGAATAAGTGGGATTGACTGTAATTTTGTAACGTACAAGATGACGACACATCAGTAAACGTCAAAAGGGGGACTACGACTAATTTGTCCAGTGCTCTACAGATCCGACCCTGGTATCATTCACTCTATCAAATACTTCCTATAATCTCTCATCAACTGTTTGCTAAATTTAAACGAAAATTAAGGGTAACATACACCTAAACATTTAAATTATGGTATTTTTTTTAATTGTTCCCAATAGTGTCAGTACTTGCACGCACAACGACGAATTGAGGTAATATTCCTTCACGTGGTCACTGGGCGTTAAATAAATCTAGAATATACCATCTTTTATAGTAGCAATTACCTTACATAAAACATACTTTTGTGAGATATTAGAAATAGTTGTAGACACCTGAGTTTTATTGTTATGGAGTTTACACCTCGTAGCTGTGATGTATAAGAAATTTTGCGCAATACCAAGTGTTTTTATTATTGTGAAAGAAAAAGTGATTTGATGACCAACTGAAAAAAGACCATGTGAAGTAAATATTGCACTGGTTTATGGCTTAGAATTTCATACTTTCAGTTTGACTGTTTAAAAAGCAGAGAGAATCTTGGTAAAATTCTTTTGACAATCTTAAAAGGTTGCAGTCAGAGAAAATTGACAGCAACAGAATAATTACAAGCTAGGACGACGGCCACAAGAAAACATACCTGTAAAGGAAGATAAGACGTCCATCATTAATAAATAAACGGGATGATCGGATGTGTAGTAATGAGACAAACGTTTTCGCAAGTAAATGAGCAATCAATGAATGGTATCATGAATTGTTCCGATCACTATGGTTGTTTCATGCCGTAATTTTATCCACTTATGTGGTATGGCTACCCAGTAACTGAATACTCACCTCCAAGGTGTCAAAGATCCGAATCATGCTCAAGGGTTGAGTTGCAATTAAGTATAGTCGACTCCTCCCACACATTTGAATTATTGTCTACAATGAGAACTTGCAAGAGGTTTCTGAGTTGAATCACATTCAGTGACAAAAATGAAAAAGGCATTTGCCAATCTCCCTTAGCCATGGTGTCAAGGTGTTCTGTTTGATGCATTCAACTCTGCTTCGAGATGGTTGGTCTTCGCTATCGTAATGAGTAATTAATGCAACCAACTGATATACAGCTTATACAAATATGAAAGCATTTGTAGGGATGCGTGTTACAATTCCGTAACGATTGACCAACCCTACTTAATTTGAAGTGCTCTAGTACCTGCTTAACCAGTACTTTACCTAACGTGTAAGTACTGGTAACAAAACACAAATCAAAAGAACTGATACGCAATGTATTTAAAGGAGCTATGTATTTAAGGTAAATGTTATAATAATGAATGAGGGAAAAGTTTAATCAACTTATCTGGCTTGTAAGGCTGAACTAGGGACTCGGAGTACGTGCGTGGTGATCAGCACAACGGAGCGCAAAAATGGCGTCCAAGCCTGCTCGGATGCATGCTCGTTAAAACAAAACTTAAAACACCCTAAGCATCCGGAGGCAAGCTAGAGATTTATTTAGTTAATTTAATTTAAACTATTTATTTTAGCCCTAGTTATATTTTGGTGCCAGGAAGGTGCACTACACATTTTACCTTCTTTCCCAACTACACTTATCACTATTACATTTTAGTTAGCGAGAAGTCAATATCTCATATTTCAGCAACTACCAGTTTATCACGAATACTAATATTTCGACACCATCCGACGTTTTGACGATGACATCTGACTTTTATGGGGAGTTCTATTACTTGCCTAAGTTTTAAGGGTAATATGACTGAAACCGCCCTCTATGGGTTGATAAGAGCACCTTGAAACTTTTAAGGAGGATGAAACGACCGTGGCACTTATTCTTAGAAGCAAGTAGTGAGGCCTTCAAGACTTCGTATTGCAAGGTTAGGAATATTTGTAAACTAAATATCACGAGGTACAGAATAAATTACAAAAAGCAACTTGCGACCACCTGTCAGGTCTGTCCATACATACATTAAAACGAGAACGAAATATAAGGATGTAGTAACATCTCTCCTGTCAGCTGAAAATTCAGAAGAGTTGGCTGAGTCTAGTCTTTCTAAAGCTGAGTATCTCTCTAACTACTTCAGCGCACTCTTCTCAGTAGACAGATATGATATTATTCCGACCAGTATTTCCGAAAATATCCCAACAATGGGATCAGTACACATCAAAAGAGAGGTAGTCCTTCGGTTACTGAGCAACCTTAAATCTGAGAAATTCCCTGGTGTTGATGACACGTATCCAACAGCGCTATCCTTTATGGGTGAAATTGGTGCCTGATAGCTCACTGAGTTACTTAATGTCTCTGTCAGACTCGGCCTCCAAAAAACTGGAAAGATGCGGTAGTGAACCCAGTTCTCAAGGCAAGCAGTAAGCAACTTGTATCGAACTGTCGTCCAGTTAGTTTGACTAGTATAGTTACTAAAGTACTAGAGATTATCACAGATAGAATGCTCAGCCATAGAGGAAACCATAATTTTTTCACATCTCTACAACATGGGTGTCGTGTTGTTCGATCTTGCTTCACTAACTTCCTCATAGCAAGAAAGAAATGGGTAGCAGCCTGTGACAACTGGATGCTTGTAGATGTGTTCACTGACTTCAGTAAGGCTTTCGATTAGGTTTTGAATTTGGCACTACAACACAGGATTCGATTAAAAATTCTTATGCGATCAGAGGTAGAAAGTGAGTGGCCAATTATCTAGGTGGCAACCTGTAAGGAGTGGGGTCCCCCAAGGAACAATTCTGGGTCCTTCCCTTTCCCTTTTAGAGACTAAATCTTTTCCCATTATCTTGTCGTGGGAGATGAGACCCAATATTAGCATTGGGTATTTTTAACACTGACCTTGGGATTGATATAATTTACTTCTTATCTCCCAAAACGATTGATCATTTTCGAGAGCCTACAGGAAAACCTAAAAGCCACGGTCGAATTAACCTACCGTGAGCCAACGCTTCTCACATAGATTGGTCAACGACAGGAATTCCTTACCCTAACAAGTGGTATCAGCTCCTTCGTTGAAAGAATTCAAGGAGAAACTAGATCCTCACACAGAAACCTACTCCAAGGATTAACACACGCCAATTGACCTACAATCCTTATTACTGGATAATGAAAACTAGGATTGCAATAATTCATTGGCTACCGCATCTTTGCAGTGCTTACCCAGTTTCAGCGACTCGATTAATGTCGACAAGTACACACAAGACGATGAAAATCTATTCTGAGGCTCCCAGTGTTAAGGTCATTAAACTAGACCTTAGTCATTCCTCCACACCTGATTCTGAGAAATCCCAAGTAATTCAGATTAAACGACAAGCCAAAAAGCCAGTAACGGTCATAGAACCAACTGTCAATACTCCACAGAACAAAAATATAGCTTCCTGAAAGGTCTGTAATCTTTGACATAGTTGAAAAAAGTAGACTCAGAACCATGTGACCGTTTCGAACATCACGATGGCAAGGTACAAAGTTTGGTAAACAAGCAGTTACTGGGAAACATACCAGGGGTCACCCTACGCAAGAAATATAGAGCAGGTAAAAAAGAGTCTTTGTGGAAAACAAGTTCCGGGTACTGAAAGTCGTGTTCAAATAAACAGATGAGAGGGATCATCATCTGACTTCATTGCATTGGATTGTTCGTGCGCAAGGACTTACCTCTTGCTGGTAGAATCTAAGAACAAGAAGCAGAAGAACTAAAATCAGACTGCCAGCAGGAAAGAAAGGCCGAAAAGTGGTCGGTTTCCGTGTAGTGAGGCTTCAGCAATAAATGATGCCAAGGCCTTCATGAATAGGACAAAAACTCATTTAAGTTGTTTTATCGTCTTTTACAAAAATGCACGTAGTGTCGTAAACATGTGGACTGAGCTTTATAGTGTAATAAACAAAAAAAGTCCTGATATCATTGCTATATCAGAAACTTGGTTGTCTTTGAGATCAGTGACAGTGAAACACATTTACGAAGATTCGTTCCTCTTAGAAGTAATAAGTAAGCACGCAAAAGTGGCAGCGTTATCCTTCACGTTAAGAATATCTTAACCGTAAGAGCCATAAAAACCGTTGGACACGAAAGTGGCATATGTAAAACGCTGCGCTGCCGATAATGTATGTTTCACTCAACACCTCGTACTCCTTCGTAAAAGTAATCGGGCTGTGATCACCTTCTGATTCACAGCATCGGTCTTGTGCCATGACATGACAGCTTTTAATTTGGCAACCTCTTAGGTGGACTTGACAGTCAGCCTCATTTGAGGCTGTATGGTGCTCCTTCAGACAGTTATATGCACGAGTGACCCAACGTTTCACTTAGTAGACTAATGTGAAGAGATAGAAATGTTGTCCTCCGCAGATAATCGGCAAAATCAAAATCTTACTACGACGCAAGAAAAAGTGTTAGTCTTGCCACCCACCTCGATACTCCCGAGATGAAGAAGCATTACAAAGAAGCCCAAAATAAATGCATTACTGCTATCCGCCGGTCTCGTATGTACTTGGAAACACGTCCTGCCAAGGCTGCATTGCAAGACCCGAGGAGGTTATTTTCTTATGTGAATCATATGAATAAAACGTATCGTGGTATACCGCTCTAATCAAAGAGACAAACTGACTGTTTAATTGAAGAGAATAAGGGAAAAGTAGAAGCAATGGCTGGATATTTTGCTGAGGTCTTTGCGCAGGAACTTTTTGTGGATACTACTTCGATAGCAGAAACACTGATGTCTAACAGAATGACTATGTGCACATCGACTGCAACGTTGTATTCAAGAAATTAAGTACTCTGGATATTGAAAAATCAACGGAACCAGATGAGCTGCATCCAAGCCTATTTAGACAGCTTGCACTTTATGTAGCCGACTCACTGACTACTATATTTAAAAAGTTCCTCAGTAAAGCCACACTCCCTTATAATTGAAAGAATGCCCGGCCGACAGCTGCTACCTTGATGTGGTGGTTGGGCTTACATAGCACAATAACTCAAGGAGCTACACTGATGGAACGGGTGTTCCTTCAAGGTCCCACTATACCAGAATAGTGCTTAGATAAAAGCAGTTACCATTATAGTGTAAGCTTCTACTATATGATGAGGGTTTGCCGGAGAAGTCGGACTGCTGACTGGACGGGAGTGTGATAGCAGTAAAGTGTTTCCCTTGGATGACATGAAGCAGTGGCCCATTGGCTTAGGGAGATCACTCTCAGCCAATGCGTCACAGATTCGAGCTCAGCTCCACCTACTGAGGGTAGGGAGGTTAGAAAGTATCGTTAACCCTCACAAATGTGTCGTTAATTGCCCATTGCATGAACGTGCGCAAGCTTGCTGAGCGTATTTCGACTCCCGTGCATGCCCAGTGGTGCCGCGCTGATGCTGCCTTCCCAATGGAAAGCGGAGCTGGAAAAGGTCAGTCAAAAAATAGCATATTCTTCTCTACCCCTCACGGAATTCCGGTGCCGTCGGTAGCGTTTTCTCTATTTCGCGTTAGAACAACCAAACCTCAGAACAACAAACAATGAGAGGTTGTCTTTGACCAGCCTCAAGCAGATGTCCCGCGAACTTCGTGCTCGTAAAAGTCCTTCCGCTGTTAGGTACCCTAATAAGAAATAACGTTCCACAGTGTGGGCAACCAAGAACTGTCAACCACCAGCACGCTTCTAGTAGTACACATTACCCAATCAAATATAACCCATCATCCTCAACTTTGTCTTCTTCTTTCTCATCACTTCCTGATACTAATATTAAACCTCTTACACTTTCCCAACATCTCACAGTGAAACCATTGCAAACGATCAAAGCCATCGAAACCTCATTTCCAGTCTCTTTAGACCCCACCATAGACTTTATATCGGAGCTTTCTACCTCCGAACTCTGTCGAATCGAACATCAAGCATCGCTTGCCAAAACTCTGGAATGTCTAGCCATGGATGTACGCTGTATCTCCAAGACATGTATACAGAACCCGAGTGTGATTATTAAATTGACTTCATCTGGCTATAGTACTGAATCTTCAAATTCACCTCCAGATCATCCGAACTTTTATGGACTCGCTGGTGTAGGCGTGGCACCGAACTGTAGGGCAGAAATTGTGCTTCTCGACCAGATACCAGTCAACAGCGGTTTATATGCCATTCGACTGAATGCATCTGTGAGAACTAGGAAGGATCGTGAAACTAAGCGATGTCGATTCGTAATCTCCGCCTACGCACCCAGTGACTGCAGTCTAGATGATGCGAAGGATGACTTATGTTAAAGGCCGTCAACTTTGCTACAGAAAGCAAAACGTTCAGATGTAGTCATAATGGCAGGTGATTTCAACGCTCAATTTGGGAGGATGAATCAATCGGAAAGACATCTAGGTAAGTGTGACTTCACAGGAATTGACCCACTTCCTGTAGGTCATCTGTTTGACTTGAAGCATGCAGACGATTTTGTCCTGTTGGGTGAAGACGCTTACAAAATGCAGGGTCCTCTGAACGCGTTGAGCGAAAATATGAGTATATCTGGTGTGCGCTTTGCACTTGTGAAATGTAAGACGATGCTTCAGGACTGGTATGCGACCACTCCCAATTTAATGATAGGGAGTGAAGTGGTGAAATGTGTCGACCTGTCCACTTACTTGGAGAGTTGCATCAGCCCGAACGGGTTGGCCATTGACGGATGCAGAAGGCTCATCTGACACTTGCCAATTTGCATCATCTGTGGCGTCGGCTGGCGAGACATCCGACTGTCTGTCTATCAAAAGACGAGTATACCGCGCTGCAGTCTGTTGTGTCCTGTGTTATGACTGAGAAATGGGAGTTCAAATTAGAAGACATAAAGCGGTAACAGTGTTTTAGTCATATATGTCTTCGATTCATTGCACGTGTTTGTTGAGGTCAGGTTATACAGGTAAGTCGATTGATGAAGTTGTGAACCATGGTCAACTGACGTAGCCCCGACATAAATTGAGGGAACCGAGCCACTGCCCACTTCGACGTGTCATTCAGGTGGGGGAAGTTGCATCAGGTTGGAAGAAGACTTATGGTGGCCAGACCAAGCAGTAGCACCAGTTCATCAAGTTCCTGCAAGTTGATGTGAGCCATGTGGAAAGATGTAAACTGCCTGGCCCGGGTCAGTGAAACGATAGCAATCAGTGGTTGATGTATCTTGGTGAAACGGCTGAAAATCGGTCACAGTGGCGCAGATGTATTCACTCGCTGACGTCTTCTAAAGCTTGAATATTCGCACTGACTTTTATCTTCGAATGTTTCATTCGCTTACACAACTTTGTCTACTTTGATAACACTTATTTCATCTACCTGCTCTTTGCATATTACTGTGAAGTGTGACGACTTGAACCGATGCGCTTGTGCACCAGAGTCTACGTTGATTTGTCCATGTTTGGAAGGATGCCATAGTCACACCTACCTACAGGCTAGATTCTAGATGGGACCTATCAAACTACAGACCGATAAGTTTGACTAGTACAGTGGTAAACATCCTGCAAAGTGTAGTCACAAAAGCCATAATGATCCACCTAGAAAGTAACACTTAATTCTCTCATTTGCAGCATGTCTTTCGTATAAAGTTCTCGTGGTTGACGGATCTTCTCACAGTCTGAAGATGATGGAATACATGCAGATGTCGCTTTCATCGACTTTAGTAAGGCACTCGACAAAGCACCTCATTCCACGTGCCCAATGAAAGTGGAAAGTTTCGGAGTCACTGGCAATCTACTTGAATGGATCAGAGCTCCTTGTTCGTAGAAGACAAGGAGTAAGGATCAGTCCTCAAGTCTCCTCGCAGAAGTCAGTAGAAAGTGGGGTGTCGCAAGGCATATATGAGCTGCTAAATATCACGAAATGCCTTATGGTTCTTTACCCTGACGACGAGGATACGTGCATCTCAGACAGACATAAACGGCTTGTTTATCTGGTCACAGGAATGGTTGGTGCCTATCAACGCAGGTAAATGTGTGAACATGCACATGGCGCACGCAGATGGCAACACCTACGACATTGGTGGGACTCCTTTACTCTCAGTACTGACGCACAATAACCTAGGAGTCAGTGTGTTATAATCTGAAGACCATGTCAGACTTTCGATTGGTATCAGCTCGGGATTTAGGGTACTGAGTATTACGCAGAACGTTTACAAAAACAAGTAATATGTTCACCAAATTATAGGCATCCTTAATTAGGTTTAAACCAGAAAACTGTACACAAGCGGTAAATCCTGGTCTGAAAATTGACTCAAACCTGCTGGAAAGAGTTCAGAGGGTAGTCACCTGTATGATCCCTGAGACAGATGATCTGTCTTACGATGACCGACTTAAGGAGCTGGACCCCTTCTCTTTATCTTATTGCAGACACTGAGCATTTCCAATCATTCTATGTAGGATTCTAAGAAATAACTATATTCTGTTTTCCTTTCCACTACGCTGGAATACCTCAGACGACATAGCAGGAGAATAGGAAGGTAAAGACGAACATGGTCTCCGTAGAGTACTGGTTCTCACACCAGTTAATCAACTACTGAAACCGACTTCCTGAGGAAGTGGTGTCCACATCATCAATTGACTCATTCAAAAAAAGAATGGACAGGTATAGAGACGCACTGGTTGAGGATTATCATAGCCTTACAGACTTCTATCCTCAAACAAAAAGTCTTAAAAGGCACCTTCCTTTTAGAGTTATCTACATTTTATTGAATCGAACCCTGCTGGTTTCCCGACTGACTTTCGTTGGCTTGAACCATCACACCCTCATCTTTAATATGACTTGTTGCTTGTACATATGACAAATAATGCAAAAATAAAAGTTATAGACATTGTATCCAAAGTGACAAAAGGAGGAAGCCCAGCCAAAGCGATGAACCATGGGAAGAAATTGAATTAGAAACATGAGGTTTCTCAACATATCCCCGAGTTTCGCCTAACATTTGTTGTAACTTTGTTGAACACATTTTCTTCCCCGATTTCTTTTTACTGTGTATCGCTCCACACTATTCCGAAAAAATGTTGACTCATTCTCGAAGAAGTTGAAGCCCAAGTTATACACTTTTCACAGTATTTCTTTGCTATTGCCTACTTCCAATCATAGTTTCTCCTTTATTTACTCATTCTTGTTAGTCTTAGTTGGGCTATTCATCTGTCCCTTTAATATCACTAGGTCGAACAGGTTATTGGTAAGCCAGCAAAATAACGCACAATATTGCGCGAAAAATATTACTCACCTGACTAACTGCTTCTTGATATCCAGGATGAACAAAATATCGCATTCTTGGCAAATATGTGGTACTTTTTTCATCCAATCCCAATAATCCTTTCGTCTCAATAGACGATGTCCACACTTTAATCCCATACGCAGGACTGATTCCAAGGACTCACACAGACTTTGCAAGAAATTAGTCTCATCCGTGACTCTTTCCATCTTATCGTTATGGAATTTGAGAATGCCTAACTTAACCTGTTCAAAGAAAACTGGCTTCTCTATCATATCTTCGTAATACCGCCCAACCAGTCAACGTGACAGATAAAACTGAAATCCCCGAAAAGTAATTTAATCTTCAAAATCTTCCTATTGCAGAACTAAAGATTTGAAAATCCTTTGTGTCTTCATTTGTAGCAATGGTAATGAGTTTTTCCAGTCTAACAGAGAAATTTAGCTATAGAGGCAATCCAATATTCAATGTTTTACAAGCTTATACTAACCATTCGATTTCTTTGCTCTCACTTCTAAGTTTTGTGGAACGGTTCCAGGTCTTTGGTGGGTTCCAAAGCAGTAGATCCACCAACTTTCTTGCTGCAGCTTTGGAAAACCTGAAGTATGATTTGTAGGATTGTGTATGACTTATCCAGGGACCGTTGTATGAATGAGTTCCCCAGATGTCGTATCAAAAGAAGGTTGTTTGGATTGGTTGCGAAAGAACGATGAGGAAGATGAAAAGATAAACGAGAAGAACAAAAGAGGAGGAATGAGCAACACGAAAGTGTGGAAAGTCTGTTGAAAAGGGAGGAAAGTTTAGATGAAATCACGGAACGTAGGAAGGAAAACTAAGATGATGAAGCCTAACGGATTGGGTGAAATCGTACGAAGCCAGAAGGAGGGAAAAAAGTCAGAGAGGATATTAGTTAGAATAATAGAGATATAAGAGAATAATGCTTGTTCGGCTATGATGATTAGACAGGTAAGATATCTAGTGGGGAGACATCAGATTTAATCGAGTTCTTGATAAAAATAGTGATGCAAAGCAAGTTAAAAGCTAGAAAGCAGAGGGAATTTCCTCGTCCGCTGCAGGAGTGAACCCAACAACTCGAGCCAAGCCCTAACAAATAGACGCAAGAGATCAAAAACTACCAGAATTCTACGCTAGCACAATCAACATGGCACACTGGAAAACGGATAGCACAGAAGAAAGTGTAACAAACTGTTGCGAAGAAACAAGGTGGTTTGGACCTGGACCCTCACAAACTTCTCTAAAGTCAACAGCATACGGTTTGACTACTTTCGACATTCATGCTGACCTTGATAGTTTAACTGGACTCGCTAAGGTGAAGGCACCCGATCAAGCATCCTCGCCGTTTGGCACACTGTCGTGTTACGTTGCACTGCTCGCAATCGACTCTCCAGCCAGTTAGTTGGAACTCATTGGTATCTTGGCACAACCATCCAAATATGCTATTCCATCCGACTACACTATCGTCTTCTTCCTTGGTCTCGTATTCGTGCGTATATAACGGGTCCGAATAATTAGTGACCGGTATTTGTGTCTGTCAAGTTCGCACCAGGACAAATCCTAAATTGATGAGCCCGACGTGATCACATATCCCAACCAATAACAGATATTGAATTGGTGAGCCTGTTCCATCTTATATTTGTATATTGTTTTCATTTCGATAGCGTTTATATATCCATTTACCACACTTTCTCATGTCCGACCAAATTCCCAAGCTTCTTCGTATTAAGCCGACTACAAACACGATCCAACTCGTGCCATATTGGCCAGACAATGCGGAAACATGGTTTCTGTATGCCGAGGCAGATTTTCAAGAACAGGGCGTCTCAGATCCTCACTCTCGATTTCTTGCCGTCATACGTTCACTACCGCGACAATTAAACAGGCATGTCACCGCACACATGTTTAATCCTGAAGTAAGTGATCCTTATGCACTCCTCAAAGCCGCACTCTTGAACAAAAGTGATCTCACAGATCGCCAGCGCCTAGACGAACCTCTTCGTAACATCGAGCTAGGCAGCCACTCAGCTGCTGAATTCCTCGCACGCATGCGAGAAGTTATCGGCGCACGAAAATTCGACAATGGCCTTTTCCGAGGACTTTTTCTCTCGAAACTACCACAACCGGTGCAAACCGTGTTGGTGACACTGTAGTCAGTCCCGCTTGATGACCTGGCAGCCTCGGCAGATAAAATACCGGAAATCTCTAGCAGACCCGTCTCCAACGTACATTCTGTCGGCGACAAATCAGAGAGCCAGGATTCAAGGGTGACCAAGCTGTGCAACTCTGTTAAACAATTGCTACAAACTCGAAGCACTAGTTCACGTAGAACTCCCCAGGAACGCGTCTTAGCGCATCGCAGCAACTCACGTGGTTGCCCCAAAACTAAACCTTATGGGGTGGAAAACCCTAAACGGTGTTGGTTTCATAATACTTACGGAAACGAAGCCAGAAAATGTCGTAAACTATGCAGTTTTAACAAGGACACAAACTCAGGAAACTGTCACGCCGGCACGTGTTCACGGCAACCGTAGCCGGCGGAAACAGCCGTTCGCTCTACGTCACGGATACTAAAACGAAAATTCGCTACCTCGTCGACACTGGCGCAGAAGTAAGCGTTCTTCCTGCACCAACAAAGGAACGTCATCATGACCCATCCTTCAATCTCTAAGCAGCCAACGGTAAGGCAACCACGACATTTGGGAGACAGTATGTCTACCTCAACTTGGGTTTACGCAAACCTATCCACTGGATTTCCCCCCTGGCTGACGCCTCTATACCGATCATTGGCATAGATTTGCCAAACCATTGCGATCTACTCGTAGATGCTCGCCGTGGACGTCTGATAGGTAGCAACACAAAGTTATCTATTGGCGGCACCACCTACGTGGGTCCGAGTTTAGCCATCGTTAGAACCAGACAATCAGGCGACGCGTCCTACCAAGCAGTTTTGGAGAAATATCCAGAGTTGCGACAACCGAAGCACACTCTTCGTGCATAACCAGCAATTTTATGCATCACGTCACAACCACAGGTCCACCTGTCGCATCCAAAGTGCGCCGTCTAGCCCCCGATAAGCTCAAAACGGCGAAAAGCGAATTCGACCACATGCTCGAACTTGGCATTATCAAACCGTCAAACAGCCATTGGGCATCGCCATTGCACATGGTTCCCAAAAAGGATGGCAACGACTGGCGTCCAACCGGTGACTACCGAAGGCTTAACGCCAAAACAACTCCGGACCGCAATCGGATGCCTCACGTTTATGACCTGACTGCGACGTTATGCGGAATGAACATTCTCTCCAAAATCGATTTGGTCAAAGCGTACAATCGGATACCTATGGCAGCAGAAGGTACCGCGAAAACAGCCATTATTACTCCTTTTGGCTTGTTTGAATTCCCGCGCATGCCATTCGATCTTCGGGATGCAGCACAAACATTCCAACGCTTTATAGATGATGTCTTCCGTGGTTTGAATTTTGTTCACGTCTACATCAATGACTGTCTAATTGCGAGTCCAGATAAGGAGACTCACCTTAAACATTTGGACCCCATATTCAAAGGACTAAAATACATGGCATCACAGTAAACTTGTGGAAGTGCGAAATGGGAGTTGAATCACTCAGCTTCCTTGGGCATACCATTGACAACAAAGGTATACGCCCGTTGAGAGATAAAGTGGCGGCCGTCACAAACTATCCAGAGCCGACCATTGTGAAACATATCCGCACTTTCAGTTGCCTGATAAGTTATTACCGAAGGTTTATCCCCAACCGTGCCGCTACCATGAGACCACTAACACATCTACTTCGGGGAACTGCGAAGTTCGTGACTCCGGACAACGTGGCTAGACTTGCCTCTTCTAAAGTCAAGGAAGCCATTTCAAACGCAGCCATGCGTATGCACCACAACCCCAATGCTCCTTTGAGTACTGCTGTTGATGCATCTGACTTAGCAATTGCAGCAGTTGTGCAACAGCTGACTGACAACTGTTAGCCTTTCTATCGAGGCGGCTGCAAGACGTGGAAGCAGGACACAGTACATTTGGTAGGGAACTCCTAGCTATGTACTGTTATGTACGTCACTTACGACATTCGGTGGAAGGTCATGATCTCATTATTTTCACTGACCACAAGCCGTTGACCTTCTCTCTCAGCTCGGCGGCTGACAAATACTCCCCTTGTGAGTCACGACAGCTGGATTACATTTCTCAGTTCACGTCAGAAATCCGCCACATTTCTGGAGCAAATAACTCCGTAGCCGATGCACTGCCACGAATAGCTTCATTAAGCCGTATCGAGGGCGTTGATCTCGTTGAACTAGCTCGGTGTCAAAAGGAGGACCTCGAGCTGCATCATGGGTTGTCGTCCACAACTCTCAAGCTGCGACTTTGTCCGGTTGGACCAGAAAAGGATACAATTTTGTGCGATGTCTCTGCTAGCCAACCACACCCAATAGTTCCGAAGATTTGTCGACACAACGTCTTCAGTACGTTGCACAAACTGTCCCACCCAGGTGTACGAGCCACCATTAGGGCTGATCGCGCAACGTTTCTGCTGGCCTGGGATGAACAAAGGCATCAAGGTTTGGGCTCCGATGTGCTTAGCTTGTCGGAAGTGCAAAGCCACACGACACACGAAAAGCCCTTTAGGCTCCTTTCTAACCCTAGACATGCGTTTCGGCGACGTCCATATACGTATTGTAGGACCTCTACCAGAATCTAATGGATGCAACTACCTTTTCACTTGCGTGGACCGAGGCTCTGCCTCTAGTCCTACCAGGTATTCGTAACGCCTTGAAAGTTGATGCTGGATGTACCCTGCAGAACTCGTCTGTGCGATCACTCTTCGCCTACCAGGTGAGTTTGTTTCTTCTTTAACTTTCAAACATCTTTCCGACAGGGCATCTTACGTGACTTGGCTTACAAACGCAATGCGTTCAGTTAGGCCTTCTCCGGTTAGACGTCAAACGACTGATGTCCTCGTTCACCCCAGTTTACAAAAGACATCACATGTGTTTATTCGCCACGACGCCGTTCGTCGACCACTTGAGTCACCCTACGATGGTCCATTCAAAGTGATCAAGCGACACGAGAAATTCAACATAATTGAGCTAGACGGACGTGAGGATACTGTTAGTGTCGACCGTTTCAAACCAGCTTATTTCGAAGGCAACCCTATTATAAATGACGTTTCAGCTCGCTATAGCCGACTGACGGATAGCCCGGTTATCGAAATTCTTGACGATGTGCCTCGTAGTGCACAGTTACGACAGCCATCGGGGCAACAGAAAACACGATCAGGTCGAACCGTCAGGTTCCCGGAGTGTTTAAAGTTGCATTCAACTTAGTGGTGTGAAATAAGGTATGCCAACCATATTTTTTGGATTAATTCAATTTTTTCGGGGCACCATTTTTCCCACTTGCCGGCAATGCGCAAATCCTCGTGCATTTTGCCCTTTTATGTCAATTTTTCACCACTACCACG